ATGTAAGGACTTCAGTTAAGCCCCACCACCCTGGGACACTGCGGGTGTCCCTTTTCTGTCCTAACTAGACTTCAGCAGGTCAGGGTCTCCTCATGCATTTTGCTGTTCTTTAACTTCATAGACCAGGAATCGTGCAGCGTGCAGGATTTGTGTGCGGTCTCCTGTGCTCCTGTCCACTTTTCTAACTCCGTGTCTGCGTCTCCGTTCCTCCCTCAGTGTCCTCCCCAGGGAAGCGCTCTTTCAGTTCACCGCGCCGACCACTAGAGGGCGGCAGAACCCGATGGAACGTGGGCTGACCCCGCAGAGCAGCCACTCTGGGTGCCCCTGGGTTACTCCTCCCACCCAGGGAGCTTCTGGGCTGCCTCTCAGGCAGCTGCAGCAGGGTGGTCCTGCTGCTTCCCTCTCTGAGACCCGCTGCTTTGGAGAGGATTTCTGGAGTGGCAGTGTGGAGCCAGGGTCTCCGAACTCTCTAGATCACGCACTCCGTTCAGTAATGTATTTTGAACATACATGCAGCTATCACTTATGCACAAATGTTACACATATTATAAAAACATACAGACAATACCTTAAAAGAAATAACATTAAAGCATTTACCATAGAACTTCTAAAATTTTTTCTACCTCCCTTCTTGCCCCCAGATCCCTGGAGCACCCCTGGGGCTGGTCATCCCTCTCTGGTCCGCCGTTCAGAGGTCAGCGGAGCTTGGAAGGGCCTGGCCCCTGTGGGTTTGACACACGAAGCCATGACCCTGGGCCTCCGTCTCCCAGCTGTAACATGAAGAAAGGAAGACTTTCCTCAAGGAGTGTAGTACAACATTCACTGAAATCAAGGGTGTAATGCTCAGAGTGAAACGGCACTGGGAGCAGGTGGACTTGAGTATTTGGTGACGGTCTGCAGAGGGCAGGGGCCCGGCCTCAGGGCTTCAGCCTACAGGTCAGTCTGCGGAGACCAGTCTCCCTGACACGAAGGAACAGGGTGTCGGGCATCCTGGGGACCTTAGAATCAGCCTCTCAGGCTTGGTCAGGTCCTCTCTTGCCTTTACTGCCCCAGGCTGCTCTCCTCTGATTCTCAAAGGCCAAAGTGCCAGGCCTGCAGGCCTTTCCCATGACTTGGCATTGAACTCCCTCCTGCCAGAAGCTGCGGTTTTAGCCTTGACCCTGGGTGAGCCTGACCCACGTGGGACTGGGAGAGTGAGTAAAGTCTTCCCAGGTCGCTGACTGGGTCACCCACGTGGGGCAGTAGAAACACTCACACCACAACTCACACACTGACATGTCAGTGTCTGGGGAACGTGCTTGAGACACCCTGGGCAGATGTGCCCATTCTGGTGTCCTGTCTCAGGTACGTCAGTGCCGAGGGCCAGGAGGATCCTACCCCTTCCTTTTTCCCTCTTCCTCCCTCCCGCCTTCCTTCTGTCCCTGCCTCCTTTCCTTCCCTCCTTCCTGCTCTTTCTTTTCTTACACCATCTTTCTGTCTGTCTGCTTCCTTTCCTTTTAATTTCTTATTTATCTTTTGCTTATTTACTAGTGCAATAAAATTTATTAGACGTTTGCATTCCCCCTAGTCTCACTCATTTCATTTATACCCCTCAGGGCTTGGTGGGAGTGCCGCCCCCTCATGTTTCCTGGCATCTCAGACTGTGGAAGCAGAGTGGATTGTCTACTCAGAGGGGATCGGGTAGGTGCTGTGGGCCTGGTGGGCCGGGGCAGCGTCGATTCCTGGGAGCAGGAGAGCGGCCTTAGGGCATCCCTGAGCCATGTTTGTTTGGATATTTCAGTTTGGAGATGACAGCCTATTCTCTGCCCTCACTAGAGGGGCAGAAGTCCAGGTTCAGAGGATGGTCCTGTCCCCAGCTGTGCCCTTGGGGACTCTGCTCAGCAGCTCCCTGGGTAGAGTTCCCCACCATCCAGGGTCATTATGGTTAGAGAAGGAAGGAAGAATTTTTAAGTTGAGCCAAGCCATTGCCTCCTGTGTGAGCGTGCGTGTGAGCCTGATTTCTTATTTTTCAGAAAAAGAACAGGTAGAAATAGTTGTTTTAACTTTCCCTGCAGTGTAAATTAACTCCGTGAACACTTCGATTTAAGTGTCTTTTAAAACAAGCTTTATCAGACTGTGTTTTTAAAAAAGGGAGATTATTCCTTCCCATCCAGTAACATTGAAAAATCACAATTTGTTTTATGTCACCATTGTTCTATGGCTCAGGTATGTATCTGAAACTGTTTTGAAAGTACCTGAAGCAAGCAAAAGATAAGAGGTATTATATGGCTGTTAAGAAAGTAAAATATTAACCCCATTAACATTAGGAAAATCTATACTTTGAGAAAGAAAAGCCATCTGTGGCTAGTGAGCAGTCTTTGTTGGTAAAGCAGCCGGAACATGACCCTGATGCCTGGGAGAGGTCTGTGAAGTTTGCTGTTTTGTCCCTCTTGCGGTTGTTCAAGTGTCCTTCCCGGTGCTTGAGGAAACCCTTCCCTGCACTTTGTCATTTCCACCCCCTCTCCCTCCCCGTATGGAATCCAAGGGCTGGCATTCAGGCCGAGATAAGCTTTCTGTCCAGATCACCTCGGGGCATTTTGGAGTCCAGGGTCCGCTTTCAGCCTGTCCTTCGGGTGGAGTTGTGTGGCGCTGGGCGTGGGCAGGGGGCAGTCTCCCTGCAGCTCGAGCCCCTCCCTCCTCTTCAAAGCTAGTGGACTGAGTGTACTCAGTGTGTGGTTGTGAATCTGTGAGACCTGGTTTCCTCTACTGCAGAATGAGGATAATAATGACAAGCACCGGGCAGAAGGCAGGTGGAGTGGGAGAGACACAAGCCAAAGTCACTTAACCCATGACCCCCGGGCACAGGGCAGGCTGGAGGGAGCATGCAAGGTGGAGGAACCTGACGTTTCCCACTGAGGGATGTAGTTAATGATGCATTTGTGTTTGGGGTAGATGGGAAGATGGAGGGGGGCTGTGGCATCCAACCAGGGCTGACTCCATTAGCTCAGAGGTAACAGTCTTCATGCTTCTCAGTTTTCTTCGTCTTTTCTCAGGCCGAGAATATTTTCTGAAAGTGGATGAGGCTGAGTAGCTCATGTGCTGTGGAAGGGACTCCTGCAAATGAGGACAACTTAGGTTTATTGAGTGTTTTCTACGTGCTGGACCCGTGAACAGCACACACAGTGCCTCCTCTCCTGGTTTCCAGTCACTCCCCAGACGGACACAGGTGAGGGCTGTGGAGGAGACAGGGTGCCAGCAAAGCCCCAGCAAGCACGTGTGTGGGGCACATAATGGGGATCAGGAGGTCAGCAAATTCCCTGAGCAAGGTCATCTGAGCCAGGCGAGAAATGAGAGGAGCGTGGATGTAGCTGCTGGCCATCGACTTGAATTTGTGAAGTCTCTGGAACTTTTTGGTAGATTGGAAGTAGACTGGGTGGGAGAGGAGAGTGTCAAAAGAGTGCCCCTGAGATTCTGTTGGAGAAAACTGGGTGCCCACAGGTGGCCTTCACTGAGGTGAGGAATCTGCGGGAAGGAAGGGGCTGGAGCGAAGGCCTGGTCTCCTTGGTTTTCCTTTGGAGACCACAGAACCGGGCCTTTCCTGGTGTCCACTGGGGCCTGGCGGGGGTGGGGGGTGGGGGGGTCCTGAGTGGCTGTACCCAAGCCTTGGGTGATATTAAAATCTTAACAAGCCTTAGGGCACTGTCCCTTCGGTGTGGGCAGGCCCAGTGTTCTGGAGCGGGTCCTGGAACCTCCTGATGCCTGGGGTTAACCCCGTGAAGGAAAAGGAAATGAACTAACTTCCCTGATGCTAAAACCGTTTGCTGACTCTTTGTAAGGCATCCCGCAGTTTGCTTTCCTCCCTTACTGCTTTTGTGCTGCTGAGTCCCCCCGCCCCCCTCCCTGGGGCTTCTCCCTCACACCCTTTACAACAGCTTCAGCCCAGGGGCTGTGCTCCAGGAAGAGGGTAATGGGCCCATAGTCTCAGAAGAGTGCCCAGACCCCCTGCAGTTCCCCCAAGACAGGACGGTTCATGGAGGTTGAGGGGATGTAGCAGCACCCTGTAAAGCGCTCTGATTGTTACCACCTTTTCTGTTCCATCCAGTTTTTTCCAATAAAACCTCAAGACCCCAACTCCAAGATGGATTCACAGTGACTAAGGCATGAGCCTGCCGTGGCTCCCTTTGCCTGGCAACGCAATGAAGCTGTTCTTTTCTGTCTTTCCCAAACTCTGCCTCTGAGTGTCAATCCGTTTTCAGGGCACAGAGGCCAGTTTTGGGGCAGGACCCTCAGCTGCCAGGTTGAGGGGAGCTCCTGGGTCATCGGTTGGGGAAGAAAAGAAACAGCCACATGGGGCTGTGTTTGTGTGCAATTTACCAGCAGACATGGAATCATCCCATAGTGAGCGGCTGGTCCGGACAGAGCCAGGCACGGGGCTGGGTACGGTCCTGGCTGTGCCACACACAGTGCCCTCCTCTGAGGTTAGACGCCAGCCGTCCAGGAGGGCAGCACGTGCTCACACTGTGGTTGTTGAGTCTGTGCCTGTCTGTCCCCCTCAGCGTTGTTTCAGGGCACCTGTACCTCCTCTCCATTTGCTGCTCTGATCGTGCTGTTTCCATCTTGATAGCTGGGGTGACCGTCCAGAGGGCAGGGCAGAGTCTGCGGGGAATGCTTTTTGCAAGTTTCACTTTCAAATAGTGGAAGGAGGCAGAGAAGGGCGGACTCCACTGTCCGGGATCGTTCTGACGGGGTCCCCGTGGGCTGGTATCTGCAGATACCCCTCAACCTGGGCCAGACTTGGCTTCTTGTCCCCTCTCCTGGAAGTCCCTCACCTCTCAGACATGAGGAACTCCGATTTGAACCTGGAGTTAGGATCTGGGGCTCTGAGCCACTAACTGGAGGTGCAAACTGTGAGGGCAGATTTGGGATCTCCTGGGGTCCCTGAATCTTCTAATGCTCCTGAGATTAGAGATGCTTCAGAAGTCCCAGCCTTTGTAAGCAGGTAAGTTGGTTTTGAAGTCCCTTGTGAGCCAAGAAGAGGAAGCAGGGAGCAGCTGGCTGTGAGGAGGAGGCTGAGCACATGGTGGGCCTGGGGGCAGGGGCTGGGTGGTGCTGGATGATGGTGTGGCCTCAGGATGACCCAGGACAGCCACAGTGAGGGTTGCACCTTCATTCATTTATTTCAAGGTTGTATCTGTAGCACTTCCTAGGACCGGGTCCTGTTCTAATTACATGTAGTGACAACAGTATGAATTCATGTGATTCTCATTAAAAGCTTGGGATGGAGATGCTGTTAATCTGTCCATTTTGTAGATGAGGAAACATGCAGAGAAAGTCAAGAAACTTGAGTCAGGTCGTCACAGAGAGTGGCCCAGCCTTGGACGGAACTCAGTACTCAGGCCTCAGAGTCTGCCCTGCCCAGGACCCTAAGTTGCCTCCTCCCCCACCCTGAGCACTAAGCCATTTGCAGGTCTCTTCTGTGACCAGGACTCATTTTACCTCCTGCGCTGCTCTGTTTCCACTGGGTCTTTTACGCTGATGCAGAAATCTTCTTGAAAGATATTGAGGATGGGAGGAGGGTACAGCTCAGTGGTAGAGTGCGTGCCCAGCATGCACAAGGTCCTGGGCTCAACCCCTGGTCCTCCGTCAAAAATAATTAAAAAGCAAATGAATGAATGAACTGAATTACCTTCTCCCCCGCCAGTAAATACATAAAATAAAAAATTATGAAGAGAAAGAAACAATAAAAAAGAGATTGAGAATAAGGATTAACCTGTGAGTGGGACTGACTGGGCACCTGGGTGCAGGACCATGTCTTTGGTCTCTCGCAGGAAAGGGCCGAGTGGATTGAAATTCAGGTGAACTAAGCAAGGAACAAAGGCAGCACTGGGTGCCTGTGACGGGACCCATTGTCTCCTTGAGGAGGAGACAAACTCCGAGGCCTCTCGGTGCCTCCTGGTCCCAGCTCAGCAGCCGACAGGAGCTGGCACGTCCTCCGCGGTGAGGGGCCTGCGTCCGGGCCCTCTGTCCTGGGGCAGCACTGGTGGCTGTGAATAATGGAGAGACGGAGGCCGGTCTCTGCCCCAGGGCCCCGGTGCTGAGAAGGAAGTGCCTGCTTTCTGGGCAGAGTGGGCTGTGCTGCAGGTGCCTTAGGGGTGGGAAGGAAAGGGGTGTTTTTTCCCAAGCAGACCTAACGGTTGTCTAGCACCACAGAGGCCTTTTAAAGGGCTGGGAGGAGCCCAGGCCCAGTGCTTTCCTGCAGTCAGGGTTGTGGGGGTCCCGCCAGCCCATCAGCATAAGGATCAGGAAGGGAAGGCCCCTCTCCTCCTGGGACTGTTGCCAGCCCTCCCCCTGCCCTCTCCCTGGGCCCCAGGGCTCTGGGCTGGCCCTGCCTGCTGCCCTGTCTCTCTCCCCAGCCCCGAGGAAATGGAGGATTTCTGCAGCCGCTCTGTGCTCTGCCATCTCACCTGCCTGCTCCTCCTCGTCCAGCTGCCCACTGCGGGGTCCGTAGGTGAGTGTCCCCGTCCCTCTTCCGGGGCCCTCTTGGGTGGATGGGAGCCACCCAGCAGCTGGGCTGGTTTGTCCATCAGGAGTGGATGGCTGTTTGAAGAGTCCCTTCTCTGGAAAGATTATGCTCCCCTAGCCGATAATTGTAATTAAATATTTAAGAACAATCTAAACCATAAAATAAGGGTAAGGGACTTTGATAATTGCTCAGTGAGGAGTTTATGATGTTTTCAAAAGTCAACTATCAAAAATGTGACAATTCCTTTCCATTCATTTTTTGTTTCCTGGCTTCATTTTATTAAGCATTTGCTCATTCATTCATTCATGCCATTCCACATACATTTATAGGGTGTGGACTTTGCATTAGGTGCTATATTTAAATAAAACAGGCACATTTCCTATTTTTATGGCGATTACAGTAGAGCAGGAAGCAATGAATAATAAAAGAAGG